ACACACACACACACACACACAGACACGTACTGTTTTTTATAATTCATATTTATTCATCTACATGTCTGTTTATCTGCAATGTTTGTAGATAAACATGTTTGTAAATAAAGTTGTTAAAATAAGAAACAGGAAGTGAAGAGTTGAGTCACAGCTGTGTTCAGCTTCATGTAACGACCTGTCGACAGGTGATGTCAGAGCTGAAACAGGTGAACTGTTCCTTTAAATCACCAGAGACTCCCAGTTGTTTGTTTTAATGATGTTAATGACATGATGTAAGGAGTCACCAGGGACACACACATACACACACACACACACACACACACACACACACAGTGTCTCAGGACTCATTATCTTATCGTCTCTGAGGACGATAAAGAGACAAAACAAGAGTTTTCCTGTTTCTCTTCTCACCTCATTCACTTCACTTCACTGTCATCGCTGCAGCTGATTGGTTGACTGGATTCGCTCCCTCAAAGTGCTTTTACCACCGTCCAATCAGACGCTGTTACCACCGTCCAATCAGACTCTGTTACATTGAAACATTTACTTGGAGAAAAACATGAGACTGTTGAAAGTGCAACATGTGAGATTATTCACAGAATAAAGAAATCAGTAGAAATGTTCATGGAAACAACATTAAGTCCTCCAGCGCCACCATCAGGACAAACTACATGTGTGCAGCCGACCAATCAGGAAGTAAACATTAGACGTACATAGCTACCAGGACTTTATCTTCCGTGTGTGTGTGTGTGTGTGTGTGTGTGTGTGTGTGACAGGAGTTCTTTGAGCATGCTCAGAAGCTCTGGGAGGATGACGGTGTCAGGGAATGTTTCGAACGCTCCAACGAATATCAGCTGATCGACTGCGCTCAGTAGTAAGATCACACACATGACATCACCCTGACGTATATTCACGACCCATTGGAACGTTAGCCTAATGTTATCATAATGATAGTTTAATTTCTTGAAGATCTGTTTTACCATTTGGCTAATGCTAGGCTAATGTTTACCTAATGTTAGCCTGACTTTAGGCTAACAGTAAACTTAATCTTTGCTCTGAAACATAATCATGTTTGTGATGACGTCCCCACAACATATGTGATACAGTTCACATCCCAGTAGACCAATCAGAATGCTCCACTAACAATGCCGAGCCGAGGTTGAACACGTAGGTTGGTGTGTTACAGTTTTCTGGACAAGTTGGACTCAGTCAGAAGGACGGACTATACGCCCACTGACCAGGTAACAAGCCGATCAATCAGCTCGAAGTATAGATCAATCCGTGTTGCGGGGTCACACTTCTCTTCTTCTCCTGCAGGATTTGTTGCGCTGCAGAGTTTTGACTTCGGGGATATTTGAAACCAGGTTCCAGGTCGACAAGGTCAACTTCCAGTGAGTGTCTGAGGCTCCGCCCCTCTATCCAGCTGCACCAATCAGCTGTCTCCTCCACCTGGCTGCTGCTTTTCAGATTTAGTCAAAATATAAATCAAAGGTCACAGTGTTTTAAACTGCAACTCACAGAAAGCATTGCTGTAACAACCACCAAATCATTTGTATTACAATTGTTTTATGACAACTGAGGGGTCTCCATGGCAACGTTGGCAACGCATCATGGGAACAGTAGTCTTGAGAGTGTGTATGTGTATGTGTGTGTGTGTGTGAGAAACTGATCCATGACATGTGTTCTGTCAGTATGTTTGATGTAGGCGGACAGAGGGATGAACGCAGGAAGTGGATTCAGTGCTTCAACGGTGAGAAAAATGTATTGAATCACACAGTGAACATCTATATGTGTGTGTAACTGTGTGTGTAACTGTGTGTGTAACTGTTTGTGTAACTGTGTGTGTAACTGTTTGTGTAACTGTGTGTTCTCTGAGTCCAGATGTGACGGCCATCATCTTCGTCGCCGCCAGCAGCAGCTACAACATGGTCATCAGAGAGGACAACTCCACCAATCGACTGCGAGAGTCTCTGGACCTCTTCAGGTCCATCTGGACCAACAGGTTAAATTAACCCCCCTACTCTGTGATTGGCTCCTGTTAACCCCCCTACTCTGTGATTGGCTCCTGTTAACCCCCCTACTCTGTGATTGGCTCCTGTTAACCCCCCTACTCTGTGATTGGCTGCAGGTTTCTGAAGACCATATCCGTGATCTTGTTCCTGAACAAACAGGACGTCCTCGCTGACAAAATTCTGGCTGGAAAATCTAAATTGGAGGATTATTTTCCTGAATACAACAACTACACAGTTCCTGTTGATGGTACACACACACACACACACACATTTACTGCATCAGCCAATAACAACATGATCACTAAGGTCAGACCAAGAGACTGAAACTGACCTTTGACCTGTGACCTCATAAGCATCATAAATCACTGAGAATCATTTGTCAATCAATTAGGATGTGAGTAACACAGGATGACATCACTTCCTGTTTCCAGCTGTTCCAGATGCTGATGAAGACGCTAGTGTGACCCGAGCCAAGTTCTTCATCAGAGACGAGTTTCTGGTAAAAACACGTCAAATCATTTCTCACCTGACGTGTTGAAACTGACATGCTGAAATGGACATGTTGACATGTTGACATGTTGAATCTGACACATGAACTCTTCTTGGTGTTTCACAGCGGATCAGCACGGCGAGCGGCGATGGGAAACATCACTGTTATCCTCACTTCACCTGTGCAGTGGACACTGAGAACATCCGGCGTGTCTTCAACGACTGTCGTGACATCATTCAGCGCATGCACCTGCGGCAGTACGAGCTGCTCTGATTGGCTTCTGGGGGATCACATGTCTAGCGACTGATATCTAATCAATAGCTAATCAATACTGATAGATCCTGATAAATGTATAACTGCTATGACCACAGACATTTAATACATAACTATTGACGTTTATTGATTAGGACATATATTCAGTACCTTTATTTTGTGCAGCTGTTTGACACAGGGGGTTGTGGGTAGTGTAGTTCCGATGTCAAAAGAAGAAAGGATGTTATTTACCTTGATGTTATTGAAGGCATCATAATTAAGGGGGCGGGGTTAAGGAAAAATCGAAATCTATTTTTTCATGTTTGTTATGAAGAACTCTTCTGATTGGCTGTTTCATTTTCTGAAATCTTGTAGATTTGTACGTGAACGATGACGACATTCATTTCATTGAAACATTAAAATCTTCTGTATTTGTAGAGTTGAGTTAGAGTTCTCTTTAAATTGAACGAATCAAAGCTGAACTTTAGTTTTATGTCAAAGTTGAATTTGTCTTTTTTTACCTTCACATCATCAAATCAGTACATCCCATTATTTACGTATAAGTGTCATACGTGATGTGACGTGTGTATGTTATATACACACTAAACAATAAAGAACATAAAACCTGAAGGTTTATTTATTTAATGACCCCCCCCACACACACTGCAGAGTCAGTGATCACTGAGTGAATCGATCAGCTGATTATCTAATCACTTCAATAATTGATTAATCACCACGACCCCAGGTGACGTTCAGGTGAGCGCGTGAACTGTGAGGCCGTCATGGCACCAGGAGAATGCGCATGCGTGTGAGGTGATGCGCCGTCGCGTTCAGAGGATGCTTGGCGCGCTGCCTGCGTGCTCCTGCAGTGTGTGCGTGCTGGCGCAAAGCGCGGCCTTCGCTCGGTGCTCGTCCTCATCATCATCAACAACAACAACAACAACCGGACAAAGTGTTTCCCGGTTTCCGGTGCTCGAACCCCCAGGAGGACGCGCACGGCCCGGGCCTGTGTGACGGTAAGAGCCGCTCCCGGTGCCGCGCTCAGCTTCTGTCCTCGCTCCGGCTTCGTTTCCGCGGGGATGTCTGCGCGCTCTCGAGCCGTTCATGGCCGCTCGAGCCCCGTGTCGCCGCGGCTGCTCGCGTGCTTGTGAATCGGTGCCGGGGACGGCGGGGCACGCGGCCGGTCCGCTGCCGGTGGTGGTGTGTGACGGTTTAACGGGAACAGACCGTAAACAGACTGTTACCGGATAAACGCCATCTTGTGAGCGCGGAGCGGCGGACCGGACTGTCCGCCATTTACTGAACGTTTCACACACCGAGTCCCGGGAAACACACGGACCGGCGGACACCGGGTCTGAGCCGGTACACGCCGGGCAGCTGTGCCGAATTCCCCCGGTACCGTTGACAAAGTTAACCGTTCAATGAGACTGTTAGCTACAGGCTAACGTTAGCCCGACCGGTGAAGTCAGCTGCCGTTACATCGGACACGATGACGTTGTATTCACGGCTGTTAGCCCGTTAGCTTAGCCCCGGGTTTCACGATAAAACACGTTCATTTCCTGCGCATGAATTTAAAGAATAACGTAGATAAATCTGCGTGAACGCGATGCTAACAGCTAACAGCTAACTGTACAGCCCAGCTGCGCTAAAGGCATCAGAGTGTGTGTACGCGCTCCTGTGCGCGTGTCCGCTGTAGCAGATCAACATGAACTGTTGGTGTGAAACTGCCTTGGGGGGGGGGGGGGGGGGGGCATGACGTGAGACACACAATGACATGACATCACCTCCTGAGGATGACGTCATCAACCATAAATCAGATCATGTAGAATCTGATGTTTTTCACTTTCCTTCAGTTTCAGTGTAAACAGGAAGTGATCACAGTCAGTGGCTTTTATTTTGAAAGAACAGGAAGTGATCACAATCATTTAAGCTGCTTTTATTTTGAAAGTCTGAAACTGACACAGGACTCCTCTGTTTTGATTCTGTGAACTTTGTGTTGCCACGACGACAGACTCACACAAATGTTTGTGACCACAGATGACGGAGACCGTGAAGTACGTGGACGACGAACACAAGAGCATCTTCCTGAAGCTGCTGAACGAGCAGCGGCTAGAGGGCGAACACTGTGACATTGCCGTCGTGGTCGAAGACGTGAAGTTCCGAGCTCACCGCTGTGTCCTCGCCGCCTGCTCCAACTACTTCAAAAAACTCTTCAAGAAACACGAGGTTCAAAAACAGGACATGTGTTCAAAGCAACAAATACACAGACACACAAGAACGATTCACACCTTTCTGAATACTTCAAAACCTTTTGTGTGTGTGTGTGTGTGTCAGGTGGACAACTCGTCTGTGATTGAGATCGACTTTATTCGCTCCGACATCTTTGAGGAGGTGTTAAACTACATGTACACGGCAAAGATCTCCGTCAGGAAGAGAGATGTCAACCTGATGATGTCATCAGGACAAATCCTC